TTGATTTGTTGCCCTTGAACTTTAGGCACTTTGATGTAATTTTGGACATGGATTGGTTAACTAAATATTGTGCCACCATTGATTGTGTGACAAAACGGGTTGTGTTTAGACCACCGGAACAGGAAAAAATTCAACTGATGCCACCTTTGTATGCTCCCTTCCGGCAACCTCTCGAACCACTTTAAGCCCAGCTCGCTTAAACTTGACGGGAAGATTAGGCACATAAGTCCGTCATTGCGTCTATGTCCGGCCATAACCTGTCGGAAGTGGCTCACATGCATGTATGGATCGGTTTTTCCGTCGTAAAGTGTGAACTTAGGCTGGTGGAGGCCTGCCGGAAGCGGTGTTGTTTCTATATCCAGGGAAAAAGGGGTGGCACTCAGCCTAGCCAAGTCTGTATCTTCAAAGAGTGGCACTGCTTGGCGGGGTGGAGGCATTCCGACCTCCGCGCTGGCGTGAACCCCGTAGGATAGCTGCTGGAAGGCAGGTATTCTCTGAGCTTCGCGCCGGCGAGCCCGCTCCTTTAAGACCACCATAAATCTTCTGACTGAGCAGAGTAAGAATACCTCGATGTCGTCTCCGGACGTGAGGGTTTGTAGGTGCTGTCTTGCGCGCTAGACTTCTCTGCACCCGCGTCGGAATCACCAACTTGGTAACTTTTGATAATGGATATGGACTGAGTACGTCGCTGACTCTGACCGCCTGAACGGCGGGATGGAGTGCGCTCACTGTGGTCTCCCACTCCAACTACACCCTTCCCTTTGACATGCCGCTTCAGATCCTCCATCTCCGCCGCCATTCGCCGGATGACAGCATCTTGATCTCTCAACTTACTTTCCAGTCGCCTGGCGTGTGAGTCTCTCCTCCGCGAATGACCATGACTTCTTCCGCGCTTATCCCGCGCGTCTACTGACTGTCCTTCAGATGGCGTCCCCAAGTCCGCCATTGGATGGATGGCGGGAGGACCTTCTCTCCTTCGGGTGAACTCCGGGGTAGCTCCGTCTATGGCGGACAACGGAAACTCGTCGTTGTTCGCCATGGACGGCGATCAGATGAACCTGGAATACAAGGTTTTGTCTGTCAAGATTCCCACAGACGGCGCCAATTGTACGGGGAGCAGATATTCCGGCAAGCCCGTACTCCTTTCTTCTGAGCTCCGTTTATGTCAGATCACCTGCGAGCAAATAACGGTGAGCTACTCGGCGGTGTGTGGCCGGAAAAACCCTCCGACGATTAAGTTAGCACACACCTTGAGATAGAGAGAGAGAGAGAGAGAGATCGAAGTGTTTGAGTGTAAGAAATTCCTTACAAAGTGTTCATCTCTCGTATGGGGGGCGCAGACCTGCTTATAAACCCTCTGTACCCCGTATCTACTCCTAGTCGTCTCCTTACACGTGGCTCCGCTATCCCAGCTATCAGCATAAACCTTGCTAAACATCACCTAATCTCAACTGCCTGACTTCACAGCTGGAGCTCGGCAGCCGAGCTGCTCCACCACGGCCATGCTATGCCTCATACCCAAGCACCTAACTGGATAAACACAAGGAGGACCGGGCTAGGCGGCATCTCGGCAGAGCCTAGCCCGGGCACCTCCTTTGGTCGGCCTTCCTGCCGATCAAATGGTCTCCTCGGTTGACCACGTCTTTCCGGGCGCCGGTCACTCTGCTTGTCTGGCTTCAGCCATCTCCTGATCGGGCAGCTCGGTCCAACCGAGGACTACCTTGCCGAGCTTCTTTTCGGTCCGGGGCGGCTCACACTTGGCCCAAGTTCTGCCCGGCCCAAGTTCTGGCAGCCCACTTCTCGGCGGATGGTCAATCATCTCGGCTCCATGCACCGTTGGGCTCTCAATCTGCTCGGCCGTTACCTCGGCCTAACTCCAGATCATAAATCACCCTCTCAATAATAATAATAAATTTTATTCATTAAAATAAAAATGAAATAAATAAATTTATAACCTTAATAACTAAAAGAAAATGGAAAATCAAAAAACGTAATTTTCATTAATTATAAAAAAAAATTATTTTAACAAATTTTTTTTTTAAATATTCATTTGCGATGGAAATAAAAAATAAAAAAAAATTTCCACCGGCCCCACCCCAACCCCCCTGGCGGCGGGCGCCTTTTTTTTCTCCATTCCCGCTCGGGTTACCAAAGCCCCCCAATCTCTTGAACCAAAATCCCCTACAACAACCCAGGGGAGCGGAGCTTACCTTAGGAGGTCGGGACAAGCTTCTTCCAAGTTATAGATCTCCTCAAGGGCCACTGCCTTGGACCTGCGGAAGAACGGGAGGATTTTCCTGTAACAAAAAAAAAATAAAAAAATAAAAATCCCCTACAACCAAAAATCCCTAATCTCTTCTTACGGCTCTCTCTCTCTCTCCGGCGAGCGGCGGCAGATGACGACATCGAGCAGCGTGCGACGAATACGAAGTTCCTCATTTCTTCTCTCTCCTTCTAGACCCTTCGAAGCCTCCTCGCCTTCCAAGTTCGTACAAAACGCCGCGGTTTCATCCAAGTACGAGCAAGAACAGGACCTATTGAGCGATGCAGAAGAACCCAGTTATGTTTGATAATGTTTAGCTCATTGTTGTTTTGTAAATTTATATTTAAAATTTCAAACTATTATGTATTATAATTTTAAAATTTTGATATTGATATTCATTTGTAAATGACAGGTGTTTGGAGGAAGGGGCAGAGGATTTTATAGTGAAACCTGTTAAATGATCGGACGTGAAACGTTTGAAAGATAAGTCTTCGATGATGATGATGTTCATGTTCTTGTAAAGGTAATAAGCAAATTCGTATTTTTTTGGCTTCCATTTTCATGCACATCAAGTGTTTGACTAAATGTGTCAATGGGTTTGTTTTGTTTGTGTTGATAGTCACTGCAGTGGATGGTGGAAGGAGAGCTCTGCAATTTCTAGTTTTGGATGATGAGGAAAAGAGCTATGTTGGGTTTGATGTAAGTGAGATTAATTTATTGTTATACAAGTTAAATTTAAGTTGATTGATTTATGATAAATTGATCTTTAAGTTTTGTTGGGTTGGTTTTTTTCTCTTTTTTTTTTTTGTAGAAAAAAAAGCTTTGCTTATTTTTCCTCTCTATTTTGTGTGTTGATCAAATGATTCATAATAATTCTAGAACATCAGGTGAAGATGATTTCACTTTGGAGACCTAACTGTGGCACCCACTAAAACACCAACCAAATGTCATGACCAAAAAAAAATAAAAATAAAAAAGTATCTGAAAAAAAGAAGAAGCAGCAAGGTATATATGTGTTTTAAGACCCACCTTCAACAATGAAACCAACCTTCAAAAAAAAGTGCCATCCTTGCTGGGGTTTGTTGAATTTGATTAACTGTGTTTACCTGCTGTGTTTATCAAATTTTGAGGTTTATGATAATGGGTCGATGGTAAAGCAAAAGAAAATCAAATTCCTTATTTTTGGTTTTGGAATTTGATGTGTTGTTTACTCATGATGTCAAGATTTGGGAATGACAGTAACAACTTTGATTGATACTATTTGGCATAAATAGATGCGTTAAAATGTCTATAACGGATATCAATGCTTGATGCGAAGCTGGCATAAGCATTAGTGTAACATTTCTTAGAGTGCGCCCATTTTTAGGGATGCACACCATAGATTTTTCCTTTAATATTATGTCTTACTTTATTTTTTATTCATGAATTGAAATATGATAGTTTATATCAATTACTAAAAAAATTTATTATCATTCTCACCCCTTCGGATAGGAAATTATAGTTCCATATCCTTGTCTATGTATAGATTATTGGCTAAGGTTATTGAATTGTGGGTCTTTTGATTTTGATTTTGATTTATTTATTTTTGACTTTATTTTTTAATTTGTAGGTATGAGTTGGCAGAGGATTGCGCAGATGACGATGATGCTAAGATTGGGATTAGTCAGTTGAGGAAAAGTCTCCTAGAAAAGCTGAAAATGCATGGTTCATTTGTCAAAGTAAGACATTGAACATTGTTTTGCTTTATTTTGTTTCCTTGCTAGTTATTGGAAATGATCAGGTCCTGTTCGTATCATGATATTAGATCAATGAGACAATTCTTTTGTTCCATATGGCGAGTCTTGAGGCTACTACAACTAATTGCTAGACCAAACAACAACAGTAATGTGTTTATGTGCATGAGTGAGTGTGGTTATTTAGAATAACAATCTAGAAAACTGGAACTCAAGATCTAGCACTTGAATTCCTAACCTCACTTAAAAAACTGCTAGTAGGCTAAGTGTGCTTCTTATATATTTTTTGATAAGTTAACTTTATTCCTTATTTTATTAGCAATGTTGGTCTCGATCAATTTTTCTATTAAAAATTATTTCTTTTGAAGATTGGGGTCCGGATCCAAAAAAAAAAAATGAGAAAAAGAAAAACAGTTGGGTCCTGTTAGACTACTGGTTGTGCATTGACCAGTATAGCTGTACTTTGAGCTTATGTTCATATTATCTCTCATTCTTCTGTCTGCATGTTAAGGGGATTCATCCAATGATGTTCATAGTTTTTATTTATCAAGTTTTAGTAAGGATTTTCATATTATCTTTTAATTAGGAAATGATGTTATCCCTTTTTTCCCCCCTTCCTTGCACATATATTTGTGCCACATGTAGATTGTGGGAACCTTGAAGGTCATGAATTGTTCTTTTCTTTGATTAAAGGACATGCATTAGGTGTCTTTTTCCAACATAGGCACTAGAAGTTGAACTTGGTAACTTTTCCTACCTTCAGTCTGGGGGATATGGTTATACTTATACATCTCTAGTTATGAATTTGTGTACCATATCTTTATGCTACTATACCATTTATTTTAGTGCTTCTTGTTCAGCCTTCCTCACTTTCTGTAGGGAACAATGATCAAGTAGAGTTTCTCCTTGAATTATATTATTAAATGACGCTAATAGCTAATGAAAGAAGTTAATGCTTGTAGAGCCAGAGAAGCAGGTTGAGATACAGGCTTTCCACTAAGTTTCTAACAGACTGAAGCCTAGAGCCAGAGACCCTGACAAGAAGTCAATTTTTGTCAAACGATTTTTCGTAAGAACGTCAACAAATAATAAATATAGTTTGTTTGTTTGTTTTTTTGTTTTTTTGTTTTTTTTGTTTTTTGGTGGTGGTGGTTTGCTAACCTATTTTATGTTCTATGTAAAAATCTGACTTGGATGAACTTGACCTCTCCTACATGAATTGGTAACTTGGCTTACCGAACAATCAGATTGATTTCACTATAGGATGGCCTTTCTCAAGTAATCCAATATGGTTCTCAGTTAGCAGCTATGAGAGCGTACTCTTTTGAGGTACGCTTGTCCCTTAGGCTTCCTATGCCACTTCTCACTGGTAATACTGGGATCTTAAGTTTCACTGGTGCATTTGAGTAAACTGAAGCTTTGATTCATGTCACCTGCGGATTACTCACTCTAACCCCTAAACCCTTTGTTGTTTTTGCTTCAAAATATTTCAGGGAAATTTTCGTTGAGGAGAAGAAAGTATGTGTAAGAGATTTTGTGAAGCTTTTGAAGAGGCTTGATCTATTTTTTCACGTTTCAAGTAGATTTATAGGCTACATATAAATGGAGCCTTTTGTCCAGAAAATATATTTAGAAAATATATAGTTCATCAAAACAAAGAGGTCATGGCACTAGCCTCTTTAGTTTGTTTCATTCAAAATATTTCTTTACATTCTGAATTATTTTCTTGTTGAAAATTTTCTTTTTAACACATAATTAACACATAATTATATTGTCATTAATTAATTAATTTTTTTTTTCCAGATATTTCCGGAGTAGGAGTTTGCTTCTTGTGGATTTCATGCCTGTGAAGAATGCCACTAATTTTTGTTTTTGTACCACGGAGAATGTTGAGGAAAATTTTTAATTTTGATTTATGTTATTTTGAATTATGAATAACATTATGTATTTAAACATTATATATGTATTATGGAACATTATGTGCTGGGTTAATTTTGTTAATGTATAGTTGTGAATCCAAGAATATGTTTATTATGGAGAAATTATTATTTCTATACAGGAATTTTTATGTTAGTATGCAATTTTTGTTTTTGTTTTTATTTTTTTAAATTGTTTTTCATTGAATATAGGTAATTTTAATATTTTTAATTAATTTACAGGAGTTTTTTTTTTTTGCCACGACACCAAACCGTCGCAAAAAACAGGTATTTTATAATTTTTAATAAATATTTCATTTTTTGCGACGGCACCACACCGTCGCAAAAAATCAAAAACCTTTTTTGCGATATAATCAATGCCGTCGCAAAAAGAAAAAAACAATTTGCGACGGCAATTTCTACCGTCTCAAATAATACTTTTGGCGACGGTAAAACAGTGCCGTCGCAAAAAGGCCTGTATTTTTACACATTATTTGTGACAGTAAAATGCCGTCGCAAATAGTAACATTTTGCGATAGTAAAATGCAACGCCCTCTATTGTGACCTCCCGTTTGCTGTCGCTAAAAGTCATTTGCTGTCGCAAAAAATCGAATTTTTTGTAGTGTTTCCACATTCGTGACCCTAATAAGAGCCGTCGGATCAAGGGAGGATGCTGTAAAGATAAAGAATCAATCAATCATCTACAGGCGTCATGCTCTGGTGGTTTTGGCATCCATGATTGTCTGTTGTCCGTTGCTTTCTTAGAGAACAGAATAGGAGAGACGGACGGATGGAGTTGCAAATCAAGGTGGCTCAGGCGGTTTGTGTCCTGAATCACGACTCTCAATCGTGCAACCGTGTTGCTGCCAATCAATGGCTGGTTCAGTTTCAGCAGACTGACGCCGCTTGGGAGGTAGCCCTCCATCCTTACCTCCGATCACCATCACAATCACCATCACCATCACCATCATCATCAACCTTTCCTAAACGATTTTGAAGTTGAGTTCTTCGCCGCTCAGATTCTTAAACGAAAGGTCCGTCTCTCCCTTTCCCTCTTCCTCCTTGCATCTCTTCTTTTCCTCCCTCTCCTCTCTCCCTAGGTAGGCAGGTAGGTTGGTAGGTGTACATATTCCGCAATTTTACTCCGCTCTTTGTTACTTGGCAATTAAGCTGCGGCCTATTTTGGACAATGTGTGTGGAATTAGACACACGTGAAAACCAAAAACAAGCAATGTGCTGTGGTTATGATACATGTGTGCAAGCTTTGTTCATTTCATTTGCTATCGTGGTTACCTGGAATGTCGCACACCTAGTTCACTAGAGCTTGCTTGATACCTGCAGCAGCCTCACTGCCATAAAATTTACGCACAACCTGGTGCTATTGATTTTTTGGGGAAAAAGTCCTTGGAATCAGTTCTTGATATGTCATGCTCCACTTTCAACCTTCTTCTGGACTAATTTTCCTTAAATTTGTTTGATTGATATTTAGCTTAATCTCTCATTGTTATCCTAAAAGTTATTGTATAGGTCTCCCAAATTTAATTTAGTTCAATCTCTCATTGTTATTTTAAAAGTTATTGTCTAGGTCTCCCAATTTTTTCCACAACTCTGCCAGCTTTAACGCAGGGATTCTACTGGGGAAATTGGTTTGTAGTATGACATTAGAATGAGGACCATGTGACAGGCCATTTAAGTTAACCCACAAAACATCCCTAATTCATCAGAAAGATCACCATTTAAATGAATCTGCCTAAACATTCTCTGATCTCTCGTTGATCTCTCCTATGGACCCAAACACCAAATTGATGGCAGATCAGGCTGAGTTGTTATCTAATCCAGGGCTCAATCGATTGTTGGTTGGCAAGCTGAATTATTTAAATGTTACAGGACTAAACATTTCTTTACAGTAGGTGTGGTGCACTAGTTTTTGGCTGCTCCTTGAACATGTCATTGGGATGCTATTGTATGTATTTTGAGATATCTCAAAAGTGCACCTGGCTGTAGTTTACTATGCCAAAATCATAGTCACACTTAGCCCTCGTTTGGGAACATACTATTTTAGTAACTTTTTGACTAAAATATGAGGTAAAAAAAACTATTATATTTGGTTTTTTATGAAAAGATGTGTA